TATATATATATTCCCGCCTCTCGTCTTTGGTGCAGTCTAAGCCTCCCTCTGGGCCCTGCCGCCCTTGATGGACAGGCTTAATTCCCCAGTCAGACCAACATTGTCCATTTGTATCAATTACACTCGACTTATTCGCTGTGCTCATGCAGACACATGGAAGTCAATTATGTCTAATCTTTGGTAAATTACACGGCACTCATGAGGCAGTTCTGTCTACGGGCCGGGAATGTCTCACTCAAGGTTATCACGGTGCGGTCATTAGCTGTTATGAGATAAGAGTCGTTGCAGGTAAGGAATGAGAAGGTGATGAAAAGTAGAGCAAGGCGTAGGGTCATACGTAATGATTTTATGTGCTACGTCGTGATAATAATGCGGTGATACGCTTGAGCTGCCGCACGTTTCAACATCAGCCCTCCGTTCACACCTCACAAAGGAAAATGATGGGTTTCTGTCAATGATCGCTCTATTTATTTTAACATTAATGGTGAAATATGAAGGAATAAAAAAAACAAAGTATTTACGTGCATTTGATGTCCCTTAGCAAGCCCCGTATTTTGTTCTGACCACTGGATGTACCATTCTGAATGGGTGTTCACTCTTATCACATAATAATCTGTTTGAGCTCAGTGACACGCATTCTTGTGTGAAAAAGCTTTTTGTTCCAGTCTCGGACATGAATGTCAGGACATAAAATTGAACAGAAAATACAGCCATTTCTTATGAGAGAAATTTTCCACTCTTTCCAACTGATGGTTTAAGAAGAGGCCCCTTGTTTTTTGGACAGCTTAGCACAAAAGCGCTGGCTCATCAATAAGAACTTAATTAAAATGACCATCTACAAGTTGTCTGTCGACGGCAAAGGTGCAAAGCCTCATGACCGCCGCCTCTGCAGAATCTGCTCCATGTGGCATTGACAAGAAATTAAGTGTTTATATAATTGGGTTGGAGACACAGATGGACAGTGGGATGAGACGTTTTGTCAGGGTGTCGGCCCTGATGACTTGATCGCTGAGTACCAATAGTGACTGATTTCATTGACTAATTTGAATGCTGCGATTGTCAGGACATTTTGTGAATCCATTTGCTTTCTGTTTTTTTATTATTATTATTTTTTGTTTTGTTTGAACGAACAAAATGGGGGCAGCCAGACAAGAGCGAGTGTATAAATAATCCTCAGATTGTTTTCCAAAGTACAAGAAAAGAGAAGAAAGGCAATCATGGAGTCAATAACACTGAACATTTATATGCACAGCAGACATTTCTCGATGCTTCTGAAACTTTTGGCGCAATGCCTCCATATATGGACCAGCTGAGCTTTGCCGCCGAACAGCTCATTTCATTGTTTAATTGTCGAACATTTTAAGTCCTAAATTATTAAGCATCATGTTAACGTACAGCACATAGTAAAGAGGAATATATTTTAAAGCGTGTTTGGAAGCAGGAGAAATAAAGCAAATCCCAGAAATAACACTTGTTTTGAATGAGACCGGTGTCATTTTCCCTTTCGAGTGAGTGAGATTAAAACTCAATTAAAATGAGGTGCTGGATTTGTGTGCGTGTCTGTGTCTGTTCTTGACATTTTTAAGGTCATAACATCTCTAAACAGCAGTGGGGAAAATCAGTCGTGAAAAGACGAAGCAGAAGCAGAAAATGTATTTTGGGCTATCTCAAGTGTGCTGATCAATTAGATTATCACTTTGACACTGCACAATTTCCAAACACCCTTGACAAGAATTATATCAGAGTGCAGACTGTAAACTGTTGCACATTGCGCACTGACATGCATTGTTGTCTTTTAAGAGGGGCGGTCTTTGAAGGCAGTTGAGGCTTTTTGGCTAAGGTTAATGATAAAAATGATACTCCAATGACGCTATGTGGGTACGGCATGCTCAAAAGGATCATATTACATTCTGATTTCTGCTCTGTTTCTGACATTTATTTTTTTTGTCTTTGCATAATTAGCTTGACTGGTTGCTTCCTATGATATGTCAAAATCACAGGTGTCAAATTCAAGGCGTGGGGGCCGGATCTGGCCTGCCACATCATTTTATGTGGCCCGTGAAACCAAATCAAAGATGTTTCAACTTTCATGTTGCTTCCTAAAATCGCTACCAAAATTTCAAATTCTCATTTGTAATAAATAAGAGTGATACGGTAAGCATTTTCTTGTTATCAAACCCCTCATTACAGTATCTTAAACAATTGGTGAATAAACCGTTATTCTTGACTTTTTTATATGGCTTCAGTCATAACGGCCCTCCAAGGGAAACTTACTAAAATCTGGCCCGCGACAAAAGTGAGTTTGACACCCCTGGTCTATATCCTCCTTCTATTTCTTGTGGATGTCACTCATCCTTGCTGTGTGTTTGACATTGTTTATGAACAGGTGCATCCTTGTATCATATGCATCGCTGGACTTCTTCCATGCTGTCAACTGTATTCTGAATAACGATAACCTCGGGTGGGTGCTGATTCTTTCAGAGTGTGTGTAGGTTCACACTTTACCTGTTGATCGGTGAGAGTGTACAAGTATTGGTGATCTGGGCTGAAGAGCAAATCTTTCAGGATGGGGCTGCCGTCACTCACGACGACGTTTTCGTACAGCAAAGCCGGCTGGGAAACGGAGTTGACGAGGATCTAAGAGAAGTCAAGCAGAAAAAAAATGATAAGATGTCATTTTTCATTTTAAGATACCGGCCCACTTGTTCAGTAATAATTGAGCAAAGATTTGGATCTGGTGCGTTTGTTTGAGAAAAAAAAAAAAATCCCAACGCGCCAAGTGGCATAATTGCCTACATTTCCACACAAGGAACAATATGTCACTGCATCACATACTCACGAAATGCGTATATACATCCTTTTATAATTGTAAAATAAACAACAAACACATTAAAATTCAATCAAAAACAGTGATGAAGTTTGAAAGAAAAACATTTCAGTGAGTGTTGGTGTAAATAAAGTGTTCATCTATTAGCGGCTAATGTTTGCCAAAAAATCCGATCCAAATTCATGTTCACAAATACGTCAAACATTGCGACACCAAAATACATTAGTTAAACTAATGTATTGTTATTCCCGTGTCTAAACTTTCCCTAAAGTCTGACAAAACTTTATAATTTTCCTCTACACTCATATCTTCCAGTTTTTGCCTTTCCTGGTCTCAAACGTGTGTACTTTTTTAAATCTGTCAAGTCACCAACAGAGTTGCCTTCATATTTTATTTTTTTGGAATAGAAGGTTAGGCCTGTCAACACAGTGGGTGAGCGTGTTTCAAAGGAGCAGAAATCCACTTTGCATAAAAGGCAAATGCATTGAAAGATCAGCTTCGTTAAGGTTCTCAGCGGGATATTTTATGAAAGTAATCTCAAGATTTTACTGTACAAAGCAAAATGTCTGGTATTTGCCTCTGAGTTTACAACAAAATGGAATCAAACGCTTTGCGTGGGGAGCGGCTTGAACAAGGACGGCTACTCACTTCACCTCGGTTCTTAAAAAAAAAAAATCAACTTAAAAGAAGGCGAGGAACAATGCTCACAGAAGTTACCCTGACTTTCAGACAATTTTAAGAGGGCCACTATGGAAACATCTAGGATAACCGAAGACTCTAAATTGCCCATTGCGGTGACGGTAATTTGACATGTTTTTTGGAAGGAACATCCACAAACATTAAAGTGAGACCACGTATAATGGAAAAAAAAAAAAAAGTAATACGACACTTTTGCATTTGAGGTTATATTCCTCACAGTGTAAAATGATGCCCCCCCCCCCTCCACTCACACACTGAGGTGGAAATTGTTAATCAGCAAAGCAGGAATGAATGCCATTAGCATTTGTGAAGATTAGAGTCCACAATTATGTGGGAATGTGAACGGCGACAGACGAGTTGCCCGATAGCTCGGGGCAGAGGGCAGTTGGAGCGGAATTCAGGTCACTTGGCACGAAAGGGATGCAGAGTGGCACAGGTGAGCATATACTCTCTCATGTCTTCAAATAGCCTGCAGGTTTCTGCTCCCCTCCTGCGACCTGCAAAGTCGAGTTGGGAGGCTCCATTTCCATCAAACGGTATATTGTCGTTAATATTCACTCTAGAATGCTTGCGTTTTTTTAGGGTTGTGGGTGAGGTGGAGCACGGCTGACACTGGCCAAGAGGTAGCTTGCACCAGGGATTGGTTGCCATTCAATCAAATGGCACATAGAGAAAAAAATAACTACTCACTTTCACAATGACATTCCCACCTGTAGAAAATATTGAATCTTCATCGAACCTAACATGCATGTTGATGAGATGTGAGATGAAGCCTTGGGAGTAAAATCACAAAAACGCTTACATCTGTTTATCTTGATTCCTCTCCTTTCCAGCGCACACCTCCACTTTGGTAAATGTTCCTCCAACCTGCTCCCCTTCACGACAGATCACAATGTCATCTGTAAACATCACGGCCAATGGATATTCCAGTTCAACCTCATCTGTCAACCTATCCAATACAAGTGAAAAGAAGAAGGGCCTTAGAGCAGATCCCTGATGCAGTCCCACCACTTCCACCTTAAAACCTCTGTCACACCGACAGAACACTTCACAACTGTTCTTGCACCCCCATACTGTGCATGTCCTGAACTGTTCTAAGCTACTTCTCTGCCACTCTTGACTTCCTCATTCAGTGCCACGGCTCTTCTCTGAGTTCTCATAGGCTGGATTGACATGACACAACTTCTTCTGAACCTTCTCTGAACTTGTCCATCAACAGCCTTGAGTCAAATAATGCATATCTAGTACTCTTCCTAGGCATGAAACTATACTGTTGTTCACAACTACTCTCCTCTGTCCTGTCCTCTTCCATTCTTCCTTCCCATAATTTCACCACAATAGTTCTGGCAATTCTGCACATCATTCTTTTTCTTGAAAATAGGGACCAGCACACATTTCCTCCATTCCTCTGGCATCTTCTTGCCTTCTATAATTGTATTGGACAACCTGGTGAAAAACTCCCGAGCCACCGCTAACTATTTTTCCCATCCAGTAAACACATTTCTATATCTATCCTTAATCACCCAGCCATGGTACAGAACATAAAGTTTGCAATAATGATATTGCAGAGGGAAAAAGTAAATTATGAGAGAACATGGCAGCTGTCCATCTGTTCAAATGCATGAGACGCACCGCTTACATGTGTGGCGCCGGTGCCCAATGGAATTTTCTTCTTCATGTTTGTGGTAACACATTCAAGCGGCTGCGTGAGAAGTGTCTCCTCACTCACATACGAGCCATGCTGCGTGTCACCAAGAGAGCAGCTTATTTTTTTCTGCTCGCAGCCAAAGCGAGACTACAAATGATATGTGGATCTTTCGAGCATTCTATTTTGGGGGGCCATTATCAAAGGCAACCAAATCCAGCCTGACAGGGTTGGCATGAGCTGTGCAGCAGACTTCTTAATCTGGCAGGAATACCTGCAGGAGTTTGATTCATGCGACGGTGAGAATTTAGGACGAAATATGACGAAAAGTAAACACTACATTCTGATTGAACTTGAACTGCTGTCAGCAATATGACTTTGACTATGGTTGCAACTTTGTGAGAAAAGGACTTTGTCCATCCATTTTAAGGTGTTTTGGAGCCTAGCCCAGCTGATTTTGGGCAAAAGGCGAGGTACAACATACGGGCACCGGAGGGGTCAAATCCAAATCCAGAAAGTAAAAATCCTCCCGCAGGTTGGCTTTAGCCACAGGTGCTTCCACTCACCCTGAAGGTAAATGAGCTCCCTGGGTGCAGCTGCACCTGTGGCTACAGCCTAACAGTGGCAGGATTTTTACTTTCTCGACCTAGTTTGATACCTCTGAAGGCCACAGAGAGACAAACAACAAGATTAGTAACCATTGGCATTCACAATCCTATTTTAGAGTCTCCAATTAATGGCACATGGAGGTGTTTGGAATGCATGGGAAGTACAAGGAGAACATGCAAACTCCACGCAGGAAAGTCAGAGCATGGATTTCAACTTCGAGGCGAGTCACTACATTAACCAGTTGCTTACTCTGGAAGTACTGTTCTTCCCCCCCACCCTTATTTTTTTTAGCAATCTGCTGTGGAGTGACTTTCAAACACCTGAATTCCCCTCTGGGGATCAATAAAAGGTATCATAATTTGAAAGTAGAAGAAAGAAGCCTAACGCCCACACTATATGGGCTTTCTACTTCATAGTGTACATTACTATGTGTATTAAAACCTCCCATAGCTGTGTGAGAAAACGGCATGAGGAGATCCATTTATTTTGCTTTTCCAACTAAAGGTAATGATGACTTTTTAAAATCAGTCTTGACTTTGGAACTAAAATGTTTCCTCATCTGAACTATGCCAAAACTGCTCTGTGCCATGAATTCCCCTGACAAAACAAAGGACACTGTAACCTACCAAAACACTGTTTAGTTCACACAATCTTGAGGAATTACAGATATAGTACTGGCATGCACACAAAATGAAACGCATTATACAGACCTAGCGAAATCTCGCACTGCTAAAACCTTGGTGACGACGAAGACAAGGAAGCATACGGGACACGTGTTGAAGTGGCATCGCTGTGTCCGTGGCGATAAGGTGAAAGAAGGGAAGTAAGGATTTAGTCAGTACTAAATGGGAGGTGTTCGCAAGCAAAACAGATAACGGTAACAAATGTTTTTGATTAACAGTGCTTAACTCCATTCTGCCCGTCCGTGCTCACTTTATTGATCTCTCCTTTCTGCCTTTCATGTTAATTAAAATAATTCTTAACGTACCTATTTCATATCCAACATTATCAATCGCTAGTCCATTGCCTATCGTGTGGCGTCACTGACCTCCCCTTCATTTTCAAAATCTTTGTTTTCGTTTTCCCTTAGTCATACACTTCCCTCCGGCTTATGTCTTTGTGACCTGAACAGTTAGCAATGCACTTAATTACGTGGCTGGATGAGAAAAGGGTAGAAAGGGGCAATGGAGGGAAAGTGAAGGCGAGGAGGGAAAAGTAGGAGAGGTAATATAGGAGCCACAGTACTTGTTAACCTTGTTAGCAGTTGCAATGTTAAAACTGTCCGGTGAGGAAGAATAATGATGCAGGGTCCAAAATGTTCAAGTAGCTCCTTGATGATGGAGCGAACAGAGGGAGGCATTTGCTTAATGAAATCTACTCAATATTCGTGTGCATGTGTGTGTGTGTGTGCGTGTGTGTGTGTGTGTGTGTGTGTGTGTGTGTGTGTGTGTAAGTGTGCGTGTGGTCGTGTGATCTCTATTGAAATTAATTTTGGTCTCATCCAATCTTTTTATTTCTCATGTCTATCGGCATTTGTTAGCATAAACTCAGAACATGCATGCACACGCACACACACGTCGTGTATCATGGCAATTAAACATTTATATGGTTTCACAGTCATAATGACCCTCTGAGGGAAAATGTAACAACAATGCGGCCTGCGACAAAAATGAGTTGGACGCCCCAGCTGTAAATTGTCTGCACGTGAGTGTTGATGCTTGTTTGCCTGTATGTGAACTGGAATCGAATGCCGACCAGTCACAGGTGTAACCTGCCACTCGTCCAAAGTTAGCTGGGGATGGGCTCCAGTCCAACCGTGGCAAGTGCGATTGAAAAGGGATGGATGCAGAAAGCTGG